CCTGCTACAGTGGTAGATAACATTTATAATCAATAAATTAAACAAAGAGGGCAGTTAACCAAACACCATGGTTCACATGTTGCTGCATTATAACAGTACTCTGTTTTACCAATCTCCCCCCCACCCCGATTCCCAATAAATCTTAACACATAGCCCTGGCTGGCCTGTTAACTGTAGAAAGCTGGCTGCCTTTGGTCTGTTTGCCTCTGCTTTCCATTTACAATGAGCACCACCACGTCTGGCTTGTTTTTGTTCTGAGACAGACTCACCGCCTGTCCTGGAAGTTCTGTAGACCAGGTGGACCTCGAACTCAGAGATCTGTCCTGGAAGCTCTGTAGACCAGGTGGACCAGGTTGGGCCTCTGCAGCCCAAGTGTGCACCACCACCTCCAGGCATGATGGTGCGCACCTTCCACCTTCGCTCCAGGCAGAGGAAGATAGGTGGACCTCTGTGAGTTCTAGGCTGACGCTGGCTAGCGTACAGGGACTGTCTAAAGTCCAAAAGAGGAACACTCCCTACAGATTTACACTGAGCACAATATATTCCTTATATGACAAATGATCAAAGTCCCTATTTATATCAGTAAGGAGAACAGCACCAAATTCTTCCCAAATACAAGTAAAATGAAATAAATTTAAGTTCTGTTTGTGTTGGCGAAGGGTCTTCCTTCTCGTTTTGCAATTCCTTAAGATAGGTATGAGCTGATGATGCTTAACTCCCAATACTGCAATGATGTGGAAACTCAAAACAAAGGAGACTAGACTGATATCTCAGGGATTGGCTACGTGTTGTCAAGCCTCTCAGCTTCCAGCCCATACACTTGGTAACTCCCCGAGTATACCCTTGTATTTCTAGCTTGGATAGGAAAAACCCCTCAGAATCCTGGTTTGTATATCTCCTGATTTCCCCATCTCAGATGATTCCGATCGAAAACCTACCCCCACACACTTAGTTGGATCACACTAACTACATATATTAGAATACCCCTCTAATGGCACTGCCGGCCACCCTGAACAATAGGATGAAACTAACCTGCAGCTGATCAGGGGCGGTTCACCTCTGGAATCAGAACAAGTACGCCTGTTTGGAACTGCGTTCTAGCCACACGTCAAAAACCTGCCCTTGAGGCTGGTGAGATGGCTCAGTGGTTAAGAGCACTGACTGCTCCTCCAGAGGACCTGGGTTCAATTCCCAGCACCCACATGGCAGCTCACAGCCGTGTGTAAATTCAGTTCAAGAGAATCTGACATCATTATACCAATGTGCATGAAATAAAGTTAAATAATTTAAAAAAAAAAAAAACCTGCCCTTGGCTGGTGCCAGGATTCACAGAGTGTTCTCGAAAACCACTCACTCAGCAGCTCCCTAGTCTAGTCCAGACTGGCAATCTCGTACTACTGCAGCTGCCCAGCAGTGCCAACTGCATCGAAACAGCTGTCCTCCCTGAGCCTCAGCATGGTCTCGGAAGGAAGGGTGAAGACACGTCTGACCCGTACAATACGAGACGAGCTCCTCACTCGTCCTTCTGCCTATCCATTAGTAATGTCTACGGTAATCAGGGTGCGAGCAGGTCAATAGCCGGAGTCATACAACCTCCTCAGACCCACACTAATGACCCCACTGGGTGCGATTAAAGAGGAAGAGGAGGTGAGGAGGAGAACGAGGGCTTTGGAGACGTGCAGGGAGGACAGACAACAATGCACACAAGTTAACCAGAGCAGGCGGAGGTTGGGGCTCTGTTAAGGAAGTCGTCATCGGCGCCGCGACGCCTCCCCCACCCTGTAGCCGACCTCTGAGGTTCCACCCCGGCCTCTACAATGAGGGCGACCTTCCTCTCGGCCGCAGAACTAGGCCATGCCTCAGCGCCCCGCTATGCGGAAGCAGAAGGGGGAAAACCAATCCCCAAGAACGCCCCTTCAAGGGGGTCTGTGTCGACTCCAGCTCTGATGGGGGGAGGGGGGAGGCTGTCTGCAGAAGGCAGGGTAGCGTCTCTACACCTGGGAGCTGCCTCGCCGCCGAGTCGACCTTCCGCGGGCCATGAACTCAAGGTCGTCCCCCTCCATGACCCTACCACCTAGTTACCTCTTGGATTCTTCGTCCTCCAGCAGTTCAGGCTCGGTCCCCGCCATTACCACATCGCACTCCGCGGTAGCCGCCATCTTACCGCCGGGACCAGAGAGCCGGGTGGGAGGCAGGCGGTGAAGAGCACTTCCGGTTGGAGCATCGAGCAGCTCAGCGGCGCAGCGCCCAGAGGGACTACCTCTAGCCCGTCTACCAACGAGAGGCTCCGCTTGGGGCCAGAGCGGCCTCCCATCCCTGGAGGTCCACGGTGGTCTCCGCCCTGGGGCGGGGGTCCAGGGACGGCTCCTGTGCGTAGGGGGCGCCACTTTCCTGCAGATAGGAGGAGGGGACAGAAGGATGTTGCCTCTCTAGGCCTCGGCTTGCCTCAGTATCCCGACAGCCTGGTTGCCATAACAACTTGCAATCCTAGAGCGTCTCCTGTGAAGCTTGGAAGTCGCGGGTGGGTGGAGACGGGTCACCCAAGACTCGAGGGAAAAAAGCCCTCTACGACTACCTTCCCGACCTTGGAGTGTGTCCACAGCTTCCTCCCCGGAAAAGCATGAAGAGCTACTTGGAGCCCAGTCCCCCAGCTTTCATCGGGGCCTGGAAGCCCTGCCCAGCCAAGCGAGGGGAACGCAGGGCGTCTTCACCCTGCGCCTTTCATCTTCTACGGATCTCCAAGCACCAACTGGTTCATCACCCTAATGACGCGGACCCTTTTATGAGGCCGCTTTCATGTCAGCCGCTTGGGAGTGCCATCTCAGCATTAAGTCTAGAGAGGGTGACATGGCGCCCCAGCCCCTGCCCCGGAGTTTATAAGGCAGCTCATGGGGTGAGGTCCCTTTTCCTTAGTGTCCCCTGTACTCCTACCTCTCGTAAACTCTACCCAGCACGCTTGTCTGGCCAAATGCGGTCTGAATTGGGAAGACGGCTTAATCATTTTTGGAGCACCACTACTACACCCAACTGTATTTGTAGAGTTGGATTGAATTGGGGCCCTCTGAGGTTAAACGTGCAGAGGAGATGACTTGGAGGGTATAATCTAAAGCCAAAAGGGACGAAAATAAGAAGACAGTGGAATTTTAACAGTGTCTATGCCCCTTCCCTTAAGGAACAGTGTGCGAAGGCCCCGTACCTGTTTTGTAATGATAAAATTACTGAGGGAACTGAAACCACAGGGGCAACTGACTAGAAAATGAGAACGGAGACTCAGTGGACTGGGAGCGGTCATTCAGCCTTTATACCTTTACCTGCACTGTTGGTTGGAGGTGGGATAGCAAAAACCTCACCCCTGCCCTGCCTGCCAGTGGCTCACCTCACAGTATACAGAGTAGTTCACGAACCAATCTGGTTTTGACTTCCAACTTTTTGCCGTTTGTAGCTCAACCTATTCACCTACTCTGACAGTTTTAACTTCATCCCAGCGTCCAATTCTTCTTGTTGCCCGCCTCTGCCTCCTGAGTGCTGGGATTAAAGGTGTGTGCCACCACCGCCCAGCTCATCCATGCCTGTTGTTTATATGGTGCTGGAGATCAAACCCGGGGCTTCATGCCACCAGGTCCCCTATCAACTGAGCGACATTCCTAATCCCTTCACTCATTTATTGAAGCTACTTCCACCCTTTTCTCAACAACAGAAATAAAGGCAAATTTTTATTCTTTCCTGAATTCCTTATGCTGTATATTCATCTGTTCAACTGGCTACCACATAAGATATGGGTTATGAAACATGCAATCTTCAGTGTTGCTCTTGACTTAAATCTATCAACACTTCTTGATTCACCTGCCATACATCCATAAATCTTTTTTTCAGCCCCAAATCTTGTCATTAAAAGCAAATGAATAAACTCAGGTTACACCAGTTTCCTAACTGTCCCTCAGTCTCATCTCTGTCAAGGCTTGGCTCTTCTGACAGAATGACCTTTCTTGCAAAAGTAGATGGATCATTTCATTCCCTGGTATAAATCCGCCAATGGCTTTCTATCACTGTGAGTCTGGTCTCTGACCAACCACACGTCTTTGTTATTTGACTGCTCCCTGCAGTCAATAATGAACCCTCAGGGATTTGTGGCTCCAGAAATGGCGTGGTTCTTGTTGTTTTTCCTGTGCTTTAGACTTCTCTGTCCTCAGTCTTCAAACCTGAACATGGGCATGGCCGCCTCCCTTTGGTATCTGTTGCCCCCAAGTTAAATGTCTTCTGCTGTGCCCATAGCATCCCACCTCAGTAACAGCATTCAGCACAGAGTGTGGTCATCCTTGCTTTAGATGTCTAATTCTTCCAGACAGTGAACTTACGAACAATCACCCTACCCAACTTCCTTTGCCTATGGCCCTATGCAAGACACAGACAAGACAAAGTAGGGTTTTTTTTTTGTTTGTTTTTGAAACAGGATCTCTGTGTAAACTTTGTTGTCTTTGGACTCAAAATCACCCCCAGTTCATCCTCCAAGTGCTGGGATGCAAATGTGAGACCCATTCCATGTTCAAAAAATTTTCAGATTTAGTCAGGTGTGGTGGCACATGCCTTTAGTCTCAGTTCTTGAGGCGCAGAAACAAAAAGGATATCTGTGAGTTCAAGGCCAACCTGGTCTAGAGCATGAATTCTAGGACAGTCAGAGCTACATATAGAAATTTTGTTTAAAAAGGAAAAAAAAATTCCAGGTTCAAAGAGCACTTGCTTGGTATATGCAAGACCCTGAGTTCCATTCATAGCACTGCCAAGAAAATAAAAAAGCTTGTCGAATAGATGATAGAATTAATGAAGGATTATTGTCCTCTAGAGAGAGAACATTTTGGTATCAGAACCTGGAAGCATCAGTTTGGTAACCACACATAATCGTAAATTCTGGCCAGCATTCCCCCGCCGGCCTCTGGGGGCGCTGTGGGACCAGCGCTCGCTTTGCGCTGCCGGAAGTTATCTTGAAGGCCGGCCGTTGGGGGGCGGGGCTCCAGAGCAAGTACTTCCACCCAGAGGGAGAGGGGCGTCCTTACTGTCGAACTGCCCCTCCCATGGTCCTGCCCACTCCGGGGGGCACCTCAGCTGGAGTGCTGCGGGGACCCCGGAGGTATGGAGCTGAGAGGCGGGGTCGGATCGGCCTCTGCCCCTGATTCACTTTGGTTGTCCTGTCTCTGCCTCCTGATAGTTTCTGAGGGGTGCCCTTCAGGGGAAGTCTGTGGCGGCGGCCTCTGGTAGCCTCTCAAACCATGGGGTGGATGGAGATCTGCGTCAGGAGAATCTCCTGGAGAGGTTTCTGCTTGGGAAACCTTTGGGGCAGGATCTCTACTTTCTGAGGGGGAAGGAGGGGAGATCACTGTAGCTTCCCAGGAGCCTGTGTTTGGAAGTTTCTCGATAGGAGACCTCTCTCTGGAGTCTCTTCAGAGAATTTTTGAGTCTGAGCTTTCTCTCAGTGCCTGCCAGTCCAAGGGTTGTAAAATCCCTTTCCGAAGCGGCTTTGATTCTATCACTTCTTGTCTGATGTGTGTGGTTTTTTGTTTGTTTTTTGTTTTTTTCCAATGGATTTGACTCGGGATGGTTAGGCAGAATTCATTCTCACTCAGTCATTCAGGAAAGCAAGTTATTCTCTATATTTGCACACTCTCTTCAAGAAGATGACTTAAGACGAATCTTAATCCGTGCTTCTTTCTTCATGGGGATCATGGTTAAAGAGAGAAAACAACCTGGTGTACACAGGCCTGTACTCCCAGCACTTGAGAGGGAGAGGCCAGAGGATCAGCTGTAAGCCAGCTTTGGCTACATGAGAGCCTGTCTCCGCAAAACAAAACACAAACAAACAGAACATAGCAAAAGAGTAAGAGCGCTTATGAAACTCCCTTCAGTATTTGGTGCCCTATATATCCTGTGCACTGGGAAGAACCTGGCCAGCTTTTTGTAAACCACTCCCTGGGCCTCTCCCTTTGTGGTACCATTAGTCCCACACCTGCTGTGTGTCAAATCCTGGCCACTCCTGGGACAAGTAGGTTAATTACAGAACAGTGGACTTCTCAGTAGTGCATGGAAATACATCAGGGTGCTGCTGAACCCCTGAAGCTTCCCCAGTCTGCTATCTAGCTGCCTTCCATCTTCCCTCACCACACTCCTTCTGTTCTTCAAGGTTGAACGCTAAGCATGGGGAAGAGCTGCAAGGTGGTCGTGTGTGGCCAGGCATCTGTGGGCAAAACTTCAATTCTTGAGCAGCTCCTGTACGGGAACCATGTTGTGGGTGAGTGTTGCTGGGGCTGACGGATTGGTGGAAGATGGTGAAATTTGGTGAGATTTGGTCACATTATGAACACAAAGGCTAAAAAGGACACCAGCTGCTTTTACACCCTTAAAACTGGGGCTGCAGGCATGGCTGACAGAGTACTGGTTTGAACCCCAGCAATGGAGGAAAAAGGAAAACATGATACCCCCCCCCCAGTTCTACAAAACTGAATAACTCTAGAAGGAAGAAACCCAAAACCAAGCTAGAAAAAGCCCCACAGAGCACTTCTGTTTGGGAGTGTACATTCCTAATGTGCGTGTGTGTGTGTGTGTGTGTGTGTGTGTGTGTGCATGTATGTTGTACATAGTCAGAGGTAGGTGGGCGGCATCTGCTCCCCACACTCTCCACTTCCTTGTTACTATCATCATCTCTGAGATGGCCTCACCACACTGACAAGACTGGCCTGGGTCTCACATAGATCCGCCTGCCTCTGCCCCTGCCCCTCCAAGAGCTTCGATTCAAGGCGTGTGGTGCCACACCCAGTTGTGCGTTGCCCTTTTGCTTTGTGTGACATGACACTCATCCCCCAAAGTCATCCCTGCCTAGCTCTCTCAAGCGTGACCTCTCCAGAGCCCTCACTTTCCTTACGCTCACTGGGATGTCCACCTCTCTCACATGTCCCATCTCCCTTGACTCTTAATCAGGTCTCATTTTCACCCAGGTTCTGAGATGATTGAGACCCAGGAAGACATCTATGTGGGCTCCATTGAGACAGACCGAGGGGTGCGGGAGCAGGTGCGTTTCTACGACACTCGGGGTCTCCGGGATGGGGCCGAGTTGCCCAGGCACTGCTTCTCCTGCACTGACGGCTACGTCCTGGTCTACAGCACAGACAGCCGAGAGTCGTTCCAGCGTGTCGAGCTGCTCAAGAAGGAAATCGACAAGTCCAAGGACAAGAAGGAGGTACATGTCCTAGATTTCTGTGAGAGCCTAGTGGTAGGGGGGCATGGGTACTTGGTAGGCTTTGGGGTACTGGAACGATTCCAATTGTGCTTATTTGCCAAGGAGTGGTTTAGGAGCTAGAGGACCATGAAGGTCATTGGAGGGTCTTCATCCCACACAAGAGGTGGCTAGGACAGTATAAACACTTTTCTGTGGTTTAATAGGATCCATTTTAATACATGATGCTCCCCCGAATCTTTCTTCCCTGTGGCTCCATGCCCTTGCCAGTCCTCTGTTGGGCCTCTGGGAACTGCATCTTCCCCAGTTGTTGGCCAGAAACAACTGACTGCTACTCCTGAGTCTGAACCACTGTCTATATATATATACAGTGGCTGTCCTGGTACTCACTTTGTAGATCAGACTGGCCTCAAACTCACAGAGATCCACCTGCCTCTGCCTCCCTAGTGCTAGGATTAAAGGCATGCACCTCCACCACCCAGCCAGCCTCTACTCTTGTCTCTCTTCTTCAGGTCACCATCGTGGTCCTTGGCAACAAGTGTGACCTGCAGGAGCAACGTCGTGTAGACCCTGATGTGGCCCAGCACTGGGCCAAGTCAGAGAAGGTGAAACTATGGGAGGTGTCAGTGGCTGACCGCCGCTCCCTCCTGGAGCCTTTCATCTACCTGGCCAGCAAGATGACCCAGCCCCAGAGCAAGTCTGCCTTCCCCCTCAGCCGCAAGAACAAGGGCAGTGGCTCCTTGGATGGCTGAAGGGCTGCCCTTCTTTCTTCACCTTTCCAACCCCGTGCCAGGATGGGTTGAGGGCACAAGCATGCATAAGCAAGCTGTTCTTCCAATCAGTAAGGGAATAATCTTCTAGGCCAGGAAGCTGGGCCAGCCCAGGCCAATGCCACTTTTGTCCCCTCTTAACTCCAAGAAGTGCAAGTGAACTTGATTGCTGGCCCTCCCCTTGACCCTTCCATGGTAGTTCCCACCCCACCCCCAGCTCACATCCCATTGTCTCTACTGTTACCTGGACACTTATGGTACATAGTGTCCCTTCCATGTGCCCGGGGCAGGAAGCAGGGCTGTCATACCAAAGTGCCCAGTCCATGGCCTGGCTCCTATCAGGGATTCCAACTCTCTAAATTTCCTGCCAGTAATACAGCACTGGCCTAGGTTCGAGAAAGTGACCGGGTAGTGTGAGCACACTGTCAAATATGCTGGCTTAGAGTTGGCTCCTATCTCTCACGCTGACCTTTCCATTGGCCTGTCCAAGGCTGGGAAAAGCCAGGCTCCTGGGAGTGGTGTTTTCTGTTTGACCTCTACTCATCACCCAGCTCCTTTACTTCCTCTTCCTGCTCTGGGAGCAGAGGCCTCATTGGTTGAGGTAGTGTGGAATGATGACGGGGCTGTCAGTCACCCTGTGACCTAGCAAGGCCATTCTTCTCTGGGCTTCAGTTTTCTCATCTGTGAGGCGACAGGAGCTTGGATGATCACTTAGAGCCTTGGCAGCTCTGTGACCTTCTAAAGCCGGTGACTTGGGCCTCCTGTGTCTGCCCCTGCTTCACCCTCTTCAAGGTGCTACACCAACCAGCCCTGGAGGCTGGACACGCCTCTTGTAACCACCAGGGGGCAGGAGTGCACTCTCTGCTCAGTGGCGCAAGCAGCACAGTCCCTGGACCTGCCCATCGGGCTAGTGTCCATCCCTCCTGGTTGTTTTTGGCTAGTAGCTGGACTTATATTTATATTCTCTGTATTTATATGCCTGCTACCCTGGTGGAGGTGGGATAAACGGCTCCTCCAGCCCTTCCTTCTTACCTCAGATGCCTGCACAGACCCAGGCAAACCAGTAGCAGCTTCCTAGGAGCTGACAGGCCTTGTGTGCAGGGCTTGTGCTATCTATCAAGTGAGCTTATAACCCACAACTTCTGGTGCCCTCCTCGAGCTTCTGATGTGCACACCTCACGTGAGTTAGACACTACAGCCAGGCCACCTCCAGTACCACCCTTTCTCCCCAGGGCTGGGCAAGGAGAGTCAGGGCATCTCCAGGCTCAGGCTTGAAGTTCATTTATTAATGTGTTGGACACAATAAAACCACAACTGCTGTTATCAAAAAGTTTCCCTCCCCCGAACCCTTTTCTTGTCCCATTGGAAATAGCTTTCCAAAAAAAAAAAAAAAAAAAAGATACAGGTAGACACTGGCGAAGTCCCATAGTGAGTGGGTAGTGGCACTGGCTTTGGCAACATGACGGTGGATCTTGAGGGCATAAAGGACTGTGTACCAGCCCTGAGCTCCACAGTTGGAGAGACTGGACCCCATAGTCCGGAGTGGAAAATCCGTAGGCTCAGGGAGACCCAGAGCCCTCCTTAGAGGGGGGCTCCAGCAGGACCACCAAAAGGTTAAGAAGGACAAGTGTGGTAAGACAGGCCACTTCTGCTAAAGCCAGGGCCACGAGTTTGCCAGCCTGGTCTACAGAGTTCCAGACCAGCCAGGGCTACACAGTCAGGTCCAGCCTGACACCTCTTTTACTGAGCCTCACCCCTACAGAAGAGCTGGAGCTTCCCCTCAACTCTGCCCCAGTTTCACAGTACCTTCCTTTGAAGAACTTTGGGGGCCCCTTTTCTCCATGGTCCTTTCCCATGGTCAATTTCTGTTTTTGTTTTTGTTTTGAGACAGTATCTAGCTATATGGCCCAAACTGACTGAACTCATGATCCAGATGCCAGGATTATAGGCATGCACCACCACACCTGACTACCCCATGGTAAACACAGCTGTTAGGTTCCCACCCACACCTGTGTGACACCCTAGCTCCAGTGGCTGTTCAGAAGGCCCTAGAACATGGCAGGAGAGGCTGGCTTGTGGGAGCTGAGATGTGACTCTGCACTGTGTAAGTCTGGTTGGGGTTGGGGTACGAGAGCACCATGTGGCTGGGGCTGTGGTTTTGCATAGATCTTTGGGATTCATGGAGCCATAGATGCAGGAAGCCCAGGACTAGTCCAGGAAAGGAGGATAGTGACGGTCCTCAGGCCCAGGGGACTGGAAAAACCCCAGTCTGAGTAAGAAGCAGGTACCCCCGCTTGGGTGGAAACCCAGAAACTGCAAAAGGCAGTCTCTGGGATGTGGAGACAAGTGCCTGCCAAGAAGAGATAGGATGTGGCCATCCTGGGACCACTAATAGGGAGTGAAAAGGATGGGCCCTGCAGCAGTGCGGACAGCTCCCGCTGGAGTACGGAACAGAGCTGGGCCCAGGACAGGAGCTGGGAAGAGGGTAGCCGCTGCTGTTGCAGCAGGCCGGAGGGCTAGGGGCCCCGGCAGGGCACAGATGGCAGCAGCTGTGGTAGGCAGCGGACTGGGCAGGAAGCGGGCTGCCAGTGTCTTGGTGAGTTGCTTCTGCAAGGCCAATTTAGACTACAGAGAGAGAGAGAGAAATAGAAATGGACAGGGTCTCCAATACCAGAGAAGCCCACCCCCTCCCTGGGCCACATCCAGGAGCTTTTTTGCCTCAGGGACATGACTTTGGGAGTTCCAAGTCTAACCGCCTCCTTCCCACCCCCAAACGGCCATTCCAGAGGGCTTGCTATGCCACCTGTCTTCCTGCCCAGCAGATGGACAACTTCAGGACAGGCAGAGCCAGGACACTGGGAGGGGGAGGAAGAGATAGTCCCTAGAATAAGCACATCCACCCCTGGCTTTTGCCTCTCATATTATGGTCATAGCCCACCCCACCCACCGGAAATTCCTGTGAGCATAGCCCAACCCCAACCCTAACCCTGTCCCTACCCAGGCAGCTGCAGGGCCAACACCTTCCTGCCACACCCCAAGTCTTTTAGCTGGCCCTTCCTCCCACTCTCCCTAGTAGACTATTGCCTAGAGACAGGTACCTTGAGGGCACTCACAGCCAATGCCGCCTGTTTCTGCAGTTTGCTGTGCTGGCTGGAGGACTTGGGGGACTTCCCAGCCAGGCGGTCTTTGTGCCTCCGGCTGTTCATGTGCTGACAGAGACAGGATTGGGGTGAGATGAGGAAGGCCACAGAACCCAAAATTATTCTGTTGCCCAGATTATTAGAGTTCTTCTACCCACAGATCTCACACTCAACACACACACACGATGGGTTCTCTTGATGGGATAGCCCGAAGCAACCAGCTTGCCCTGCCACATTCATCCATGAGTGTGCATCAACCCTTCATCCCTTGCTCTGATGTCCACCCAACCCTGGCCTTCCTTCCTCCTACCTGCTTGAGTTGGGTCTCTGAATTGACCTGGAGCTGACAGAGGGCACACTGGAAGGGAGGGCTAGGTCCCTGCCGGCCCCCACGATTTCCTAGCACTCTCTTTGTCTTGTGTCCAGCCCCTCCCTGGAACACAGGACGGCCCCGGCCCCTTCGGGGAGCCCCTTGGTGGCCTTCCACCATCCATCGGTGCTTGGCTCCTGCAAGGAAAGACAAGTTTGTCAGTACGGAAGGGAGATCACAACACCAAACTAGGTTAGCTGGTTGCCCCTTGCAAACCTTGCTCTACCTATACATGTCCCCCACCCCCGCAACCACATGGGCTTCCCTTCCCAGCATCTCTGGCTTGTCTATGGCTTCCTGTGGACATCTCCCAAGGAAGAAGGCCTTATAGGCATCTGAGCTAAAGTCCTTTCCTTTTGTTTTGACCCAAGGAGAATGGAGCAGGGTAGTCCTTAGCAATCTTCAGTTCTGGTTGCTGAGACTTCTCTTCCAGATGCCCCTCCCTTGGGATCAAGAGACCCAGAAATGCCTGTGTAGTAACAGTGGGCAGGGTTCCTCTGTCACCTAGCCATGGGTCCTGGGAAGCACTAACCTGTGTTGTGAGCCTGAAGCTGTGAGGCCGAGTTTACTGTCACTTTACATGTAGGGCAGTAGAGGCACCCCTTTTCACTCCTGCCTTCCCTGCCTTCCCCATTCATCCCACTCCCCACAGCCACTTCTGCTGGCTCAGGCCCTGGTGCTTCTGTGCCAGGATCCGGGGAGCAGGGTGGGCAGGAAGAGGAAGAAGAGGAAGAGGAAGCAGCGGCATCCAAGAGGTCTGAGTGGGCCGGCTCTGTAACTGATGTGTCTGAGGTTGATGGTAGCTGAAGTGAAGGGCCATGAGGAGGAGATGCAGAATCTGTAAGGAGATGGAACATATGGGGAGACTCCAGCCCTGAGGCTCGGCACCGCTGGTGGAGTTGGTGTGGGAGGGTGGGGGCTTCCTGATGAGAGGAAAGCTAGCACTAAATTCTAGGCTTACCTTGCCACCAACTCTCTAGACAAACTTTTATATGGGGCCTCAGTTTCCCCATATAAAAATCATCAAACTGGAAGGAGCAGGTGACATTCTAGCACCTCATTATTAAGTAAGCAGTGGTCACCAGAAAGTGTGCTAGAGTGTTTATAAACTGTCATTCATAATAGTATCAACCTGAAGATTGCGAGTCCATCACACAGGAGAATGGTGGTACATATATGCAGTCCAGTAACACAGCAGTGAAAACAAAGAGCTACTATATGTAAACTCATGCACAAATCAGGGTTGGCAGTTTTTGTTTGGTCAGGTCTCATGTATCTCAGGCTGTTCATAAACTCACTATGTAGCTGAGGATGCCCTTGAACTTCTAATCCTCCTGCCTTCACCTCCCGAGTACTGTGATCATGGATTTGTGCCACTATGGCTGGTTTAGTGTTGGTGCTGGGATCAAACCCAGGATTTCCCATGTGGTATGTAAACACTCTACCCACTGAGCTACACAGCCAGCCCTCTGTCCTTTATTTTCTGAGACAGGGCCTTATGCAACCTAAGCTAGCCTTGGACTCAATGCATAGCCCAGCAGACCCAGAACTTTCCTTCCTTGGTCTATCAGGGGTGTGGAGGACAGTGGTGCCCATCAGCTGAGAAACGGGCTTCTCCCTCTGGCACCCAGGGAAAAAAATACCAAACAACGAATGTATCCACATTTGATTGCAGAGTGCTGAGCTCTGGATTGTGGAGAACATATGCTCCTACTGTTTTGGCCACCTACTTCGTAGCCATTTGTTCTGCCAGACTTAGGGAACTAACACAGGAAGGATCCTAGTTCAGGCTAGGAGTGCTTGGCAGCATGTTGCCTGGTCCAGATTGAGCCTGAGGAACATCAGGGAACAGTAGGTATCTGCCCGTGCGGGTATACACACAATAATTTCCCAGGTAGAAAGATGGTAAAAGGCTGGCGAGAAGGCTCAGCAGTTAGAAGAGCAACTCTTGCAGCAGCTGGAATTTGATCCCTAGCACCCACACCAAGCCCCTCACAACCACTTGTACTCCAGCTCCAGGGGATCTTATACCCTCTCTTGGCTTCTATGGTCCATGGGTACCCACACATACAGACACACACACAAAGCAAAACAACACAGTAACAACAACAAAGACAGCCCAAGTTTTACGAAAGAGAAAGAAGGATGGTGATGAGCCAGCCACGTAAGCCACTGTCAGAAGCTAGCCTCAATGTGGGGACTTGGGTTCAGGACTGACCTTTGCTCTGCGGGCTTCCGGGGCCTCCACTGGCTGGAGGTGAGGCTGAAGATGCCACTGTCCCATTTGGAGTCAGGTTTCGAGGTCTCTGCTTGCTCTTGGCAGCTTCGACAGCCTTGAGTTTTCTGGCATGTCTGTGGCCCTTGTAATGAGCTTCAGCCTGGTTCTGGAAAAGGGAGGGGGCGGTCACACGCCTCAATCAGGAATGAGATTAAGCAGAGGGACAGGCCAGAGGGATATGGGGTTAAAGGGGTACAAAGCTTGGGCACAAGAAGTGAAGTCAGTGTCACCATCATGGCCACATGCGTCTGTCTGGTCCAGAGGTTTACCGAGGGTGTCCCCACAGGTGCTCCAGTGCAGGCGGCCTCTGCCATCAGAGCAAACCTGGCCATTTATAAGCTGTGCTTCTTTCGGTAGGTCACAGCACCGCACTGAACTTTCTCACTTGGTGTGTGTGTGTGTGTGTGTGTGTGTGTGTGTGTGTGTGTGTGTTTTGAACTGAACACAAAGTCTCATGGGTCCTAGGCAATGCCCTCCGCCCTCCACTAGGCCACATCTCTGGCCCTGCTTGCTTCTACTGTGTGTTCCCACATCCAGAAGGGTTGAGCCCAGAGACGTTCACCAAGTGATTCCCTTAGTGTCTGCCTGTATATACAGAATATTCTGGAAGTGGACTGTTTATTGTGTGGCTCAGGCTGGCTTTACTCATGATCCTTCTGCCTCAGCCTCCCCAGCGCTGGCATCACAGGTTTGCACCGCTCTGTTCGGCTCTAAGCTTTAAGCTAAATGGGATATGAACTGTTAGTCTAGTTTATAAAGTCGGGGCTCCTGAATGTTAAGGGGTACACATATAGAAAGCATAGCAGTACTCATATTTTGGGCTTATGTACTCCAAAAACATTCATTCCTTTGGTATTTTTTGAAATTAAACATTTGCAATTGGCCCAGTCATTCTGTCAGGGCCAAGGTGTGGAGACATGTTCCTTCCAGCAAGTCTCTTTTCCTACTTTTTATGGAATGATGTGACCTAAGCATCTGGAGAAAACACCACAGCTGGACTATTGGCATCCTCTCTACTTCACTAGGAGTCTCTACTTGTGGCTTCTCAACTCCTGTTTCCCAAAGGTGGGAAAGACAAGCCTCCACTGCCCTTCCTTGAACTCTTTGGCTACAGTCCACAGTGGTTTTGACATCTAACCCAAATCCCACAGTAAAGAGTTTCATCTCCCCCAGGATAGGCTATGGGAGGAATATGCAGACCTCAGGGTCAGCCAGGACTGGGTTCAAATCTTAGCAATGCTACTTCCCAGCTGTGTCTTCAGGCAAGTTATTTATCCACTCTGTGTCATCCTCAGAAAAGTGGAGATGGTAATTGTGCCTCTGTACCTCTCATAGAAGCATCATGGGAGTCTTTTAAGATGACGAAGTATAGTCAAGTACATCTTTAATCCCAGCACTAGGGAGGCAGAGGCAGGTGGATCTCTATGAGTTCGAGGCCAACCTGGTCTACAGAGTGAGTTCCAGGTCAGCTACATAGTGAGACTGTCTCAACAAAAACAAAACTCACTGATGCTGGGTATGGTGGTGTGCACCTTTAATCCCAGCAGGGAGGCAGTGGCAGGTGGGTCTTGTGAGTTCAAGGTCAGCCTGGTTTCTATAGTAAATTCCACCACCTCCCCCTAAAAGATACTGGGGAGAATACATGCTATAAACATCTCAGGTCAAGACGAGAAACTTGCACTATGGCCCCTGGGACATCCAAAAGGTGGGTGCAAAGCAGAGGGGAGGAAAATGGAATCCCAGTAGGCTACATGTGGGCAGGAGGGGTCTGAGAAAGGGTGGAGTCAGCAGAGGATGGGGTATCAGAGCACAGTCCCTCTCCAGCATCCCGAAGAGACCCAGCTCCCTCCAACCCCCCGTTTCCATGACTCCCTCTCACCGCTGAGTTAAACCTCAGGTGACAGATGTTACAGGAAATGAACAGCTTCTTCTTCAGAGGGGAGGGGACCCCAAATGTGTGACTGATGACAGCTTTCTGGACTGGGTCCATCTGTGAGGGGGAACAAAAGGGTAAGTTCCCCCTGCATGCTCAGGAATGGTGCATTTCCAAATGTTCTCAGTCTACCAGACCTCTCCTGCTCTGTGGCTGTACCCTTGTATGGGTACAGACCAGATCAGTCAGGCGGCAAGGGGGATGGCCAAGGGTGACCTGAATGCCTAGGGCCGTGGCCTGACTCTCACGAGATCACCTTGAAGTCTCTTGCTGCCCTTGTGGTCTTAGTTTTTGGGTTTTTTGGGTTTTGGGTTTTTTGTTTCTCTCTCTCATATATATATATGTGTGTGTGTGTGTGTGTGTGTGTGTGTGTGTATGTATGTATATTAAGACATCTGCAGGTTTCTCTTTTTAAAGGGGCACAGAATTGGGACAAAGAGTTGATCATAGACTATAGCAGGGAAGGGACAAGGATTCTTTTGGTGGGATTTCCTTCATTCCAACCCAGTTTTTGTGTCTGAACCTGCTGGTAGGGGCAAGAAACCCTACCTTACTAGCTCTGCCACTGTCCCAGAGTTTGATGTCTGCTAAGGAGGATGAAAGTCATGGCCAGGGAGGCGAGTGGCCAAGCAGGACAGCACGGGGAGGCCTGAGGCCCCCCTCCCCAAGTAGCAGGATTGTCCCTTTGGAATATGAACTTGAGTGTTTTCTTACTTTTTCTAATTGTAAATTTTGTATATTCTTTCCTTTTTTTGTTCTCTTTCTCATTTATTTATTTATTTGAGGCAAGGTCTAATCTAACTCAGGCTGGCCTTGGATACCTTGTCTTCCTGCCCCTGCTTCCAAGTGTTGGGATTATAGGTATGCGACATCATGCAATTTTCTTTCTTTCTTTTCTGTTTTCCTTTTGAGATAGTCTCAAGTAGTCTAGGCTGGTCTTGAACTCACTTTGTAGCTGAGGATGACCTTAAATAGTCCCTCTTGATTTTACCTTCCAAGTGCTGGGATTAAAGGCCAGTGCCACCTGATTTGTGTGGTACTGAGAATCAAGCTCAGAGCTTTGCGCCTGCCAGGCAAACACTGTACCAGCTGAGCTATGTTCCAAGCCACTTCAACATCTCGGTTTCTATTGTCTTTTCTCAAGGGCCTAAGTTTTGGGGGTTTGTTTTATTTTGTTTTGTTTTTGAAACAGAGTCTTACAACATGGCTCAGGCTGGCCTTTAACTCGCTGGTGTAGCCCAGGTTGTCATGAACACACATTCCTTCTGCCTTACTCTCCAGAATGCTGGCATTAAAGGTAGTGCCACCATGCTGTGATTTAGGGGCTTGGGTTGTTGGAATCAAACCAGAAGGTGTCTGGCTCAGTCAAAAGGAACTTTCCAAACCTTCCCACGGGAAGAAACCAGAGGCAGAGAGGAGAACATGCTCTAGCGACTGCTCTAAAAACAGAGGTTCCAGCCTGGACAGTGCCCAAGGTAGAGCAGACCCAGCATCAGGACCTTAGTGGGTGGTCTCTGCATCTGCCTTTGAGAGACTATGCTTTGTGCAGTGAACAGATCTGTAAGGGACAGTAGGGGCCGAAGCCCCTAGGCCCGTGCCCGAGTGTCTCATACTCCTCAGGACCTCTGTTCAAACCTGAAGGTGACAAAAAGAGGGCGACTCCTCCAGGTTCCTGGGAGGGCATGTGACAGTTTCCTGAGGATGGCCTGGAGTTCATCCATGATTGCATCTGATTTTCAGAGTTAAAAGGAGTCCTCACACCTCATGGAGTACTCCTAACATTTGTCCTACACCCCCACATACAAGTGAGTGCGTGCATGCACACACACACACACACACACACACACACACACACCTGAGCGCATGCAGAGAAATATACAGACACCAAGCACATAAGCTTGAAGGCACTTATAGATCCACAGACAAGCAGAAAGATGCTCTTAGACACACAGATACTATACAACCATGAATGGGCTCTCAGTCACCTAAAACACATACATGCCAAGCACATTAGAGAAAGTATAAAGATAGCCAAACCCATCAGATTCGCATGCACACATATTACATACAATCCCCTCGACACACACACAAAAGTCTTCACAAATAATACACAAATTCGCACCCACCCATAACACACAGACCTCCAGAAACACAAACCCCAACACAAAAACATAAGGTCTGGAGTGATAGCTCAGCAGTTCAAAGCACTTGCTTGTGCAATCGTGAGGACTGGAGTTCGACTCCCAGCACCCACACAGCCAACCAGGTGCCCTAGCTAATCTGTAATCGCAGCTCCAATGAGGATAGAGGCAGGAGGATTGCTGGAGCTTTGCTGATCTCCAGCCTTGCTGCGAAAACGAGCTCCAGGTTCAGGGAGAGGGCATAGAGGACATGCAATGACCTCTTCTGGCTGCTGCACATGCACAGGCATGTGAAGCCACACATGTGAACATACAGTGGCTCAAACACATAACCACATAGAGAAATAATAAAATAATCTTTAACCTGAAAATCAAAGACACAACCCAAGTGCACACAGACACACCTGGATCATCAACCAAAAAAAAAAAAAATCATCTCTGGACAGTTGTGATGGTGGTATAGGAATGACATTCATCTGCATCTCTAAACAGGAGACAGGTGGGTTCCAGGTCCTATTTGGTAGCACCTAGGGCAGGCTGAATCACCTTCCTTGCCCCCCCCCCGCACCCGCATATGTCCCCACCCTCCTGCCCAGCCCCTACCGTGCTGAAGTTGGGGAAGAGACTGAGCGGGGTGGTGCCATTGATGTGGAAGGCGAGCAAGTGCTTGAAGTCCAATGGGGTTTGCAGAGGCCTGGTGGGCAGGGTCAGGGAGGCCAGCAGGGGGCTGGGGGTGCTGGAGGCTGGGCCTGCTGAAGGAGGAAGAAGGGCAGGGTCTGAAATGAGAAGCCAGAGAGCTGTCTCCCACCTCTGCTGCCAGGATGAAAGTTTTTTTTATAGCCAGGACAGGAAGTCCTGGCTCCCTCTTTCCCTTTTTCCGCCCCAGTGAAACCCAGTTGGGGAAGCACAGTCACCGAGTCTATAGCTCAAGTGTCCTAGGCAGAAGAGCGACCCTCTTTCACAGACAGAGTCAGCACAGTGACCCAAATAGACACCCAAAGGGAGTTCAGCCAAGAGAGGGGTCAGAGGAGTCAGGGTTGACATACACACCACCATGGCGACAGTATGTCATACTGTGTTCCCACTTTATCCCAAAGCACCAAACTCAGGGAGTGTAGGAAAAGGCCAGCCCCCTTTCCTCTCACCAATTGTCCCTCCTCTCACTTCAGGCTCCACACTACTCACAGAAGGGGTGAGAACGAACCCACTGGCACGGGGCTGGAGAGATGGCGCAGTGGTTAAGAGCACTGGCCATTCTACAGGACCTGGGTTTGATTCCCAGCACTCACATGGCAGCTCACAAAGGTAACTTCAGTTCTAGCAGACTCAGTGTCTGCTTCCGACCTCTGCAGGCACCAGGCACACACATGATGCCCATACATATATGCAGGCAAAGCACTCATACACACAAAATAAATCTAAGAATTCCCACAAATTTAAAAAGAAAGAAAGAAACCCACAGCATTCTGAAAGTTTGGGTCTTCACCTCCGGTGAGACCCCAAATCAGTCCTCAGGATGCCCAGGAACAACAGTGTGGTTTTGCAGACTTTGCTCTTAACAGTGTAAAGCAAAGGCAAGAAAGGGCTGTGAATCGACAAATCAGGAAGGGAAGAAAAAAATAAAGATATCAGTCCAAGTTATTGGAGACTTTCTTGAGTCCTGCAATTGCAAAACCAAAAGAAGTCCTTTTTAATTCTTGGGTGTTAACCCTCTGAAACATAAGATTGGCTTGTTTAGCATCTGTAGATGTATGCCTATAAACACAGTCATGTACAGAAAAGCCAGCAGACAGCAGATGGGAGGGGGAGGGGGAGAGGGACAGAGGGTACCACTACCTCCCTGGAATCACTGTGCACTTGGCCTATTAGTCTGTGCACAGCTAGCAGTGTGCTATGGTCAGAAACAGCACTGTCGTCTGGTTTACAATCTCTTAGGAAAAGAGACACTGCAAAGCAATGGGCGAGGAAATTCTCAGGAAGCCGTTGTTCACCTCTGTTTCCCCAGTTCCTAAAGCCCAACCTTCTTTCCTCCAACCAAAACCCAAGGGGAGGGTTCAAAAGAGAACAAGCAAACTCTGAAAGGCCAGATGGGACTGGAACTGTCCAGGCCCTACCTAGCCCCTCTACCACTTGTCCAGGCTCCTCTTCCCTCACTGGCCAGGGGTCTGGTTTGGGGAAGAGCAGGAGTCAGCTTGAGTGTAGTATGTATGGGTAAGGTTCTATCTGCCATCCCTTCAATTTCCACCCTCTGCAGGCTAAGGGGAGGGGAGGCCAACCCCGAAGTCCCTACCTCCATCTACTTTCCAAATACTCTATGGCCAGTGCACAATCAAACTCATACAGCGAGGGCACATCCACCACGATCCTCACCATGTGACCGCCATGGCCTACCTGGGACCCTGCTCTGTCCCCTCCACCGTAGCTTGTGGCTGCCTGCTGTCCACTTTGTCCAGCAGCCCAGTGCACATGGGCAGCAACAAGGCTAGCTAGGGCTGCGAAGTCAGAAAAGATTTCTGTACGGCTTGGAATGCACACATGCCAGCTTGGCTCACAGGGCCCGTGGGCAGAGGGGCCCGAGGCTGGCCACCATGGCCTGGAAAAACACGAACTCGCCCAGCGCACTGGTTCACCAGTGCCCAGCAGCAGTACCCACATAACCCCCTTGTCGAGCCCTCCCCATTCTTCCAGGTAGAGGCGGGGTTCGAAGACTGTTGCCAACATGGCCACCGCATACAGTAAGCGACCGGGGAATAACACCCTCCACACGCGCCCATGGAGCCCAGAAAAAGCTGCTGGAGGTGCTCTAAACCTCATGATGAAGCCTCTGAATAGCCCAGCAGCTCCACACCATGGTAGGTGCAGCTTTTGCCTTCTGCCTGCCCAGTGGGCAGGCTCGGAGACTGCCAGTTCCTGCAGGGAGCCTGGAGATGGGCCCCCCGGAGGCACACTGTGCTTGCAGCGAAGTTAAGGCTGCCATCACCACCATCTACAGCAAGATCAGGTCCTGGTCTTCATGCTGCAGGACCAGGACAAGCTTCTGCATTGAAGGCAGAGCGTAGAGCAGCGGGTGAAGGCTACGAAGGTGAACTATGACCTGGCGCATGGCCGAGGCCAGGGCAGCAGTGGTCCAGGAGGCCAGGACAGTGGCTCCCAACGTGAGCACCAAGCAAAGTCAGGCCGCAGCCACTACTTCCACAACAGTTAACAGGGAGACCAGTGTACTGGCCCAGGACCCGCCAAGACAATAGCTGCAAGGTCCAAGACTGCATGAAGTTCAGGGACCACGTGGGAACTAGGGTCACCATGCAGACAGAACGAGGCCTCCAATACGCTCTCATACTCACCAAAATAGACAAGGGGGTTAAGGTCAGTTGGGCCAGGGAAACAGTGAAGATCCATGGGCAGTGGACAAGTGGCCCTGAGCTGCAGGCTGATACTCCCCAGTAGGTCACTGGGAGGCCAGGCCAGTTTGGGTGCAGATATGCCAAAAACCTGTAGGATGTCCAGGAGTTGGCAAGTGATAACCTCACCCTCCTGGACCGCTGTACTGCCCAAGAAAGTGGTAGCAGGATGGCCATCACATGGGGGCACCGAAGTGGCAAACAAGGACAGAGTATGGACCTCTGCCCAGTTTCTGGTCTCTTCTAACTCCAGCCGCTATGGGGGTGCCTTCAGGTGCTGATAGGCCTCTGTGTGCAAGACATTGGCAGTAGTCACCTGGGACAACCCAGGGAATAAAAAGGACAGGGTTAGGCTTGTCCTCCAGGCTGCGGGGGCAGCAATGCAAGGTTGTTGGATGAGTACAAGGTTGGGACCAGGCAGACTCTTTGCCGTTTACTGATTGTGCTACCCTAGGCAAGTTTACCTGGCTGAGCTCCAGTTCTCTGGGCTCTCATACCTGCCTGCCCTCATCTCCCTAAACGGCTACCATGAGTTGTAAATCTTCGTTATTGCATTGATGAATATGAAGTGATTTATGACATGTAACGAAGGCTAAGAAGCATGGATTGTTGATGCCGTGTTTCTCTGGTGGTCTTTGCAGGCTTGTCCCAGTCAGGTTTATTCCTGCAGGGTATGACTCTCCTTTTATTTGTTAGCTCAAGTGCTCACTAACAGACACAGTCACTAGCAATTCCTGGCCATCTTAAGGGTCCCAGCTCTGTGCTGTTCATCTCTGTAGAATGAATCCAATCTCCACCCCCACCCCAAGACTCACACGGCTGAACCTAGGATCCACCGCTCTAGGGGCCACATGGGTGGTTCATAGCTTGGAGGGGGATCAGGGATAAGAGTGAGAAACGTCTGGAGAGTCCATGTTCTGGACTATACAATGCCCTGCCCTGGAAGCAAGAAGACTTCCTTTCCCAGCGGATATCACAAAGCCAGACCTTTACCATCTCCTGATTTTTTAAAAAATGTATTCTAGTCTGGCCTCAAGTTCACTGTGTAGCTAAAGTTAACCTTGAACTTCTGATCCTCCTGCCTTATTCTCCCAAGTGCTAGGATTACAGGCATCTAGTTCTGAATTTTTTGTTTTGTATTGTTTTTTGGGTTTTTTGTTTTGTTTTGCTTTGTTTTTTTTTTTTTTTGTTTTTTTTTTTTTTTTTTTTTTTTTTTTTTTTTGAGACAGAGTGTCTCCATAGCTTTGGAACCTGTCGTGAAACTCGCTCTGTAGATCAGGCTGGCCTCAAACTCACAGAGATCTACCTGTCTCTGCCTCCTAAGTGCTGGGATTAAAGGTGTGCGCTACCACCACCCAGCTGGCTTGTTTTGTTCTTGAGACAGGGTTTCTCTGTGTAACAGCCCTCGCTGTCCTGGAATTCACCTTGTAGACCAGGCTGGCCTTGAACTCACAGAGATCCTTTCTGCCTCTGTCTCCCAAGCACTGGGATTAAAGACATGTGCCACTACGCTCAGCTGAATTTTTATCATCAGTTTACAACCTCTGTCCCAGGGAATGGGATGTATGACTGCGTTCACCCAATGACAGGTGCAGGTCTGGCTTCTTCACTGTTGTACTCAAGGTGACTGGCGCAGTGCCAGGCATGTAGGCAGTCCTTGGTGAAGGTTTGACATAGTGGAGGTATGAATGAAGTGTATTGGCTCCTACCCAGGGGCCTAGCATACTGGAGCTTTCTCCAGGTGGCTCGATGCCTCCCTCCCCCTTAGTCCTCCCCTTACCTCTGGCTGCCATCCACCTGCATATCCCTCACCCTCCTGGGGCTGTGTATTCGCCATGCTCCGTGCCCAGCAGTGCCTGACACAGGTTGAACCTCTGCAGCTCGAGCAGGGCAGAACATGGGTTAGCAGGCTCATCCTCTTTGGCCTTGTAGTACACAGTGGTTGGCACAGTCCCTTTGGCCAGGTTGGCCTCCATCTTGATGGCCCCAGTGGCGGGAGTGGTTGCAGGCTGGGGTAGGTCCCTTTGCCTTCAGTAGGGCCTTCCAGAGTAGGCTGACCCTGACTGTCTGCCAGCGTCTGGTGGTGAGCTCCTGAGGTGACGTGATGCAGCGGGGCACGGTGCTCGAAGTGTCAGTGCCCACCGTGACGGCATTCCCAGCTTTGCCATGCTTGTTGCACACCAGGGCCTGGCGACACTCTAGAGGGAGCATCTGCTTCCGCTCACAGTCAGAGTCCAGTCAGGGAAACTCTTCCTCCCACCGCTCACTGAAGTTCTGCTTACACTTCTTGTTGGAATTGGAGGTCTTTCCAGTGGGCTTCTTCCCAGGGGGCACCATGCCTGCTCTCAGGG